AATTAATTGAGTGGAGTTAGAAGGAAATTGCATAAAGCCTTATTTATAGCTGACGACTAGAGCTACAATTTTTGTCTGAAACATTTTTCGCTATTGCAAAATACTCGTCCCACCCACAAAACGGCAAACTTTTGTAACGATCATTAAAGAATTAATAAACCTTAATATCACACATTGCGTACTGCATAAGCGTTACAAATTGAGAAATAGATTTCTTATCAGATTTGCATGATGAATCAACTATTCCTGGTCTATTCGTAGTATCGAAAGTTATTCATGCTTTATGTATGGCACGACACGAGGACATATACGATCACACGTATTACCCAATAGAAAGTGAATTCATATGTTGGATTTAAAGCAATTACTATTGTTGTATTATAAAAAGACATGCAGCAGCACAAAATTTACTTATATATTTACAATAAATGATACAAAAATGTTAGTATTATCTTGCAATATAAAGCAGTTTTAGTATCAATTTAAAAAGTGTATATACAACTTTCGATATTGCATATACTACATAGATTTTTTTTACGTTTAATCAAATCTGCAAATGCATCGGATTCACAGACTAATGAGTTAGCATCGTGATTAGCAGATTGTCTCAATTACTTCGAATAAACATGACGTCGTTTAATTGAGGGACGCAACCGTAAATGCGTGAAACTTTCTATTATAATGAACGATGTAATTGCTGCCGTTGCACAGCATTGCGACTTGGACGATCCATTAGTATTCTTTCCTTCCACTTATCCTCAAGTGTTTTGAAGCCGGGTATCACAATCCTTGATCGATTTTTTGTGGGTCTTATCGCGGGCAAGGTGCAAGAAGAAAAGAAGAGCAGAGTACCGTGGCATGATCCGCGTTTACTCTCGACGAGGCCACTTTCACGAGAGTTATGTACGAAGACGAACACAAGCATACATTCTTCTTATTTTTCGTTAAATTCGCTTACTCATCGCGAAAGTGTAATTTCAAATAATTCAAAGGTTATCATGCTTCAGTCGCTATGCGTAAATTGTGAATTCTATGCATTCATAGTAGATTCACATTTATGCATAAAACATAGAAATATTCAAAGGTGCAACATTAGAATGCATATCATAATATTTAGTCGATTAAACGAAATTCTTCATTCTTTCTTTTTTTTTATATTAAGATCTGCAATACAATATAAAAATTCCATGGAATTAAGATTATCCTCTTAATGAAATAATCTTGTTAAAACGATTATAATTATATCTCGATTATTTCCTTTAAAGTTTCTAACTAAAGTTCAATGGCTCGTTGGTTTAATAAATTAACGTCTAGTTCGTATTCACGAGCAAATAAATGTTGAAGCGAAATGCAGGCAAACCCGTGTTGCAACATGCAGACGGAAAATACGTTTGATCTCGATTCGAAAGTGAAATTAGCTCGAATTCACGGTCATCGATGCGCGTTATCTAGGTGAAATTACGTTTCTAATAGGCGCCGCCGTAAGCCGTCATTATCCGATACGTTGACCTGTATGTTTCATTCACGTTGCAGATAATTCCACGTTACGTGCGATGCAAAAGCAAATAAACTAAGCGCTCGCCGGTGGTTCAGAGCAGTTCGCGTAACCACGCATCGATATTCCTTTCGCATTTGATCCAAAAACCATGTCCATCAGTTTCTCAATCGCAAACATTGAAATCAACCATGAAATTAGGAAACGGATGAACAAAAATTGAATACATGATGCATCTTTAAAATAACAAAGATTTCCTTGAAAGGACTTAAAGTTTCTTTATAAAAAAATCTTTGGAATTGTGATTTATTCGTTCGGTTCGTACTCGCATCACATTTTTCTGTTCAGAAGCCGTTTGGATGCAACGCGTAACCCAATTTCGATGTACAGGCAGAATTTCTAGATCAGAACCATCGGGGTAGGTACGTACACGCTCCGTGACATCCAATCGAACAGCCAATTAAATATCGGAGATTTCACCTACCCAGGGCGCATCATTGATTACAGAGAGACGACGGGTTTCACTTTCGAATCGGGATCGTCTCGAATGCATCGAAAGACGATGCATGCGAACACTTTACTCTTTTCCCTTGTCTATCCATAAATCGATGAATAAATAGATACGGTTCAAAACAGTTGTGAATTATTTTATAATAGACCGCAGGTTTTCATGTGAACTAATATTATGAAATAAATATAATGCCTCTTCTGTTATCAGAATATCTCGCACGTGCTATAAACCATATCGTAAGAAATTTTTAAACTGACTCATATATCCTTTCTTTTTTATACTATTTGTACGTGTACACGTTTCGGAAATTCCAGGAGATCGACGTTACAAAAGGTTTCACGTGAAAAATCGCAGATAAAGATTTTCTGAATGAAATCGCGTGTCCGGTTATATAAGACGACTCTGCAGGGATTTATAATCCACATAAGCATGGGAAAAAGTTTATGTCCTTGCGCATATGCGAACAACGCGACGTTATGCATTATTAATGAGCCCAGGGAAAGCGATCCTTGTCTCCCCTGAAACTACGTTTTTTTCAACAATGCTCTCCGGTTAAACAGAAATCTCGTGACAAACAATCGATTGTGACTAATTAGAAAAATCGAATTGCATTGTTGTTCGAAAAATGAAAGTACAATTGTTCTCTGTCCTTCGACGAATTGGTTGACAAAAATAATAATAGACCGGAAGTTGTGTATGGAGGAAATGAAGTGAGTTACTGTCTTCTCGTATCGCGCAATTGCTTTTAAATGTTAAATCTCTGGAATGAAAACGTGCTCGTCTTATTGGACGGTGGAACGAACGAGAATAGAAAGGAAACGTGCTATCCTGGGGGTCGTCGGGTTCATCGCGTATCTTCCTTGACTCCCGGACGATTTCCACAACGCGGGAAAGTCGCGCATCCTCAACGATCAGTTAGTTCGATGCTTCGGCATCGTTTCTCGACTTGTAAAGTGCACGCTTCCGCTATAACGAATGACTAGAGAGCCGGAGATGTGTTCTCGAGAGTGAAACTCGAGGCAACGTGGTCGAGCTAATTAAACAGTAAATATAATGATTGAATTTATAGAAGAATCGAGTATAGGAAATAAAATGTATAATAATAAAAACATTACAGAGAATATCAAGCGTTTCGAACACACGTGAAATCGTGTTATGATCTATGAAAGAATATGAAGAAATAAAACTCAGTAGAATGCATATTTTCAACTGATAAATATTTTATGTTAAAAGTCTAGTAATTAGAATTCGAATGCATCCTGTTTAATGTCTGGTTTAAACGACTTCTTACTCTAATTTACGTTTCCTTTGAAACAGGAATATAGTTACGAACTGCACACGTTATTATAGTTAGGTAACGAGAATCTCACTTCACTGGTTCAAGGTAAAGTTCACTGTTTCACGTGTTTCGAACTTTATCACGCACGCAAACATTAGCCACGATATCGTTAATCAACCAGGAACTGATAAACTATTTCATATGTATTAAATGCACGGGTACTAATCGCTAAATTGCAAATTGTATGGACTTATTAAATTAAGTGGACGCTGTACATAATACATGAATTATAAAAAATGCATATTGCAGTTTTTAAACTGATAACATAAATGTTTTAATTTGCATAAAAATCGCTGTTTAGAATTTGCCGTAGAATGACCGATCCACGGAATATCTCGACGTTGTACCTTTGAGAATATGCCAGCGATAGTAAAGTTATTACAATGTGTGAAAGCTTTAATCGGGGATTAGCGCATTCTGGCACTTTCCTTTCCCGCGTCTGAGCAATTACATACGCGTTTTACGATTCTCCGGTTGACCGGTGTCAATGTCACGGGATCTCGCCGGGAAAAAACGTTCAATCCACCAGTTTCCTAAAACGAGCAGCGGGGCGTCCGGTGCGGCCGGTTTCAGAGAGATGAAAAAAGGTATCCATGCAACTGCTCACCAGGAAATCGAACCTGTACGCAATCCACGAACCCGCAAGAAAATCGCGATTCACTTTCAAATGAGGATGTCAATACTCTACGCTTTCTAAATGGTCTCAGTCGTTTCATGTTATTTCTGTGCATTCATAATAATTGTACACTCACGAATCAACCTAACAATATACTTAATAGACGGAAGAAATCCGTTTTCAAATTGGACACTTGTTTACTTCATTTCAAATACCTTCAATCTCCGATTGAATGTGAAATAATACGTTCTCTTGGTTTCTAACTTTTATGTTAAACCGCAGCTCGCATCAATTCGAATTTTAATCAGAATAAATTACAATTAGATACTAAAACAGATCTAACGATATTTTAGGAATTTCCTAAGAACGGGTTCGACTGCTCGACGATCGAAGACAGGCAAGGGTATAAAACATCTGCGTCGCAGATTTGGCCGTTGCAATCGGTCTCGACGAGTACAAGAATCGTCTTTCCTTTTTCCTGAAGAGTGAAAGATATTTCCAGACCTCCTAAGACAAGTTCCATAAATAAACTTATATGTTGTTTTCTTTGATTAATCGCTTATTACCTACAACCTTCCGTGCATGTCGCAACGCACTCCCCCTTTTTATCGAACACTACGTCACTGGATCTCTGATGTTGACCAATTAAACCTAGGAATTAGGAACAATGACGATACGTTCTAGATACCAAGATGAACAGCACCTTTCACCGAGTTACCTAGTTATTAACAGGGGCGATTGATCGCGGTTTCAGGTGTTACGATTCGTAACGGGATGACGAGACAGAGACAGAGATTGTTACATCAATTTCCCTCTCGCATCCACTTTACTTACTTTCACTGAAACTTGCACGGTGTCCCGAGTACCAACGGCAGATGTATACAACGTATTTCGCGTACGGCAACATACTGGACACTCTAATTGAACGTTTCGGTTGAGTAACACGCGTTAAACGTTCCACCGGGACTCTCACGGTGCTAAGCAAACGCATAGAACATATATTTTATTGAATTTTTCACGGGAAATAAAGAATAATAGAAAAATAATGATCGAAGATGAGAATGTACTTTCAGTAAGACTATTAAAACGGTGAACGTGGCAGAGAATTAGATTTTAGTAGACTTGTGCTCAAGCAACATTTCTGACAATTACACTAATTTCTCTGTTAATTGAAGTTTCGCGTGTTACGATTCGAAAAAAATAATTGCAATCCGTTAATTGAGGATGGTAGAAATAGTAACGATTAGGTAACGCGATAACGTTTGTTTATATGGTCATGCGAACGTGCGTATAAACCCGTGCCCGTCTGACCACGCACGCTACGAATCTACTTCGGCTGCCTTTCACTCTCGAGAAATGGCACGCACAAAAAATCGCACGCACACGTACTCACTATTTAGGACATAATTGCACCCTGCGTATAGGAAACGTTTCATTTAGCAATTAGACAAAGACGTGGAAGTGTTTAAACTGCACGTGTCCGCGATAAAGTCATTAAATGTTAACGTTAATTGTTCTCGACACAACACGAGTAAAATGAAATCTTTTAAAAATATCTAGAAGGTACAAAAATAATGCGATCAGTGTGAGAATATGTATCGCTATATAATTACTTTGTTTATCAGGAAAATTTGCAAATAGGTTTTTACGGTTTTGGTAAAAAGCCAAACGAGAAGAAACCGTAGACCGGATAGATACGTATCGTGCGTAAAATAGGAAGGATATAACTTTCCAGTACGTACACCCGGTTCTCTCGATTATCGCCGACTATTCAGGGGCACTGAGAGCTAGAGGAAATCACCGAGAGAAATTTCGTGTAAAGATTTCAACTGATTATCCACGTCGAACCGCAAAAAACGATACTGATTGTGAGAGTAAATCGATCTGCGGGAAAAGTGGAATGACGTGATCCACGCGAATAAATGTATTATGCTCTTGTGAGTGATATAAGTGCTTACCTATATCATTCTCGATTATAGATTATTTTTCACATAAAAGAGAAAGCATCGTTGCTTTTTTATCCCGTGAAAAATAAATCAGTCAGTGATGCAAAAATGACATTGAAAGTGGAAACATTTTTGCTCATTGAATTTTGAGATAAAAGAGAGCTTCGTTTTTTGTTTTACGCAAGCTGAACCGGTGAATGATTTATGGTACGTCGATCATGCTTGCGAACTCTTCAACAGGTAGTCCTAGTTCTGCTTGAGGTTTCCAAGAAGGTGTCGCAATCGGTTTTCGTTTTTGCCAGGGCGAGTCAACCCGAATATCGACGCTGTAAAGGTATCAGGTAGACACCTGAGGGGCGGGACGTTTAGAAAGCTGAGGTTCTCGCCCATAACTCGACCATAGGAGTGTAAATAAAAATTTCTAAGATCCTGTGTTTGCCATAGCGCCTTTGAAACGTTTCAACCGCGTTCTTTTTCTATCTACCCACGCGCGAACGACTTCTCTTTCTCTTTTCCCGGTTAAAATAACTCGGAATGTTTTCGATAAGGCCAGGAATATTTGCGATCTATCTTGAGAAAACAGAGAGAGAGACTCTGCTGGCCCATTAGTATCCGTTTCAACTTTTGATTTATGACGCACAATTAGAGAAGTATGAAAAGGCAAAATAGTTGGAATTCGACGAATGATGACTCTCGATTTTTTGTCAACCAATAAAAGTATAGAAAACTGTTATTAGAATGCAAATCTTTGACTTAATTATCGTCGTTTGAAAAATTCAAAAATAGAAAAAATGTGCACGTTGCGGAGTTTATTAATTATTTAATTCAGTATAAACATGTAGTTTAATTATCAATATAAAGAAATAGCGAAATGTCGACACGGATCGTTTCTTATCTGGACTCTAAAATCTGGAGCAACTGTACCTACGGTTGAATGATTTACGAACCGGAATGGCTGGAACGTTTCCTACAAGTTTTCGTATACTTCCAGCCGTCTGGCCTCCGTACAACCGAGAATTCACTTTCATCCCGGGAATACGTCTTTCCTCGTGCGTAGCTCGTGAGAATTCAGCTACCACTTATCACCTGTAATTAACAACGGCAAGACGAGTATCACTACGAATTTCGATGAAACTGCTGATCCAAGAAAGAAAAAGCGACATTAACAAACTACACTGGACAAATAAATAATCAAGGTTTAGTATGTTCACTGTATTTTCGAGGATGGTCGAACCCGCGCTATAAAGTTGCTACCCGTTTTAGCGCGTTGTACTTTCACCGGTGCAGGTTCGTGATTATGAGCTTTTCAAATAAAACGCAGCCTCCACGCCTCGGACGATTAAATCTTGCGAAAGCACGTACGACGCGCGGTAGAATACAAATAAACCCACTGCCTCTTGAACTACTTTTTTCACCGCGGTTTTCCTAGCCGTCGCTTTAACGACCTTGACAAACGCTTGATTACGCAACCGATTACGCGATGCCACACGTTTCTTTCTAATAAAATGATATTAAAAAAAAAAAGTTTAAATACGCGCGAGAAAATTGTATAGAATTGTCGAATAAAATTAATGTAGAAAAAGAAATTCGATGAAGATTGTTCAATAGAACTTTATAAAAAGAGGGACAGGAATTCCCTGTAGAAGTTGTTTTACATGGACCCCCTCTGAATGCTTAATTAACGTAGACATTAGAAATCATGCGAACCGAGGAAGCTTCGAGTATGCAAGGGACAAGACAATTAGTTCCGCGACTTTTTTTTGTTTAACAAAGAGTTATATGAGAAACTTCCTAAACAACGTGCACAGTCGAGTGAAAACTTGCCCAAGTTGTGTTTTAAATCTATTGTTAGTCAATTAAGTTAGTCTCCTTGTTCGATTCTACAATTTTTCTTGCTTGACAAAGAGTTACATGAGAGAATCAAAAGATGCATAATCGCTCTCTGTATTTTTTTTAAATCGTGTTTCAATTAATTGTAATAATTAAAAAAGACTCTAATTTGAAACGTACTCTTCCCCACCCGATTTGAAGCTTTCAGGATTTTTATTACGTCGAGTGAAATTCGCGGTTCGATTTCGTTAACGGCAAAAAAGTCGATTGGCGTCTCGTCATCAACGACAGATGATCGAGCATGTGAAAGGAAAAGCGGCGAGGGTCCAGCCTCGGGGCCTTCCGGGTGAGAAGGCGCCCGGTCGGCCCCGGCTGAAATCGAAGGCAAAACCGGCGAAGAAATTCTCCACCCGATGTCTCCTTTTTTTTTCCACCACCTTTAAGTACCAGGTAATCTGGAGCACCAGGTATAACCTTGCTACATAACCTTGCCTTTCCATGAACTTCGCCTTTGCGAAGCCGCCGGGAGAACGAAACCGTCCGGCTTGCTCGACCGGATCGCGTTCCCGATTACTTTCTCCGGAACGATGGCCCACCGTGGCGTATAAACCGAGATCGTATGGGTATGGGTATCGTAGGAGGTGGACACGAAGAGGAAGGAGAGCGGACATAGCGATGGGATTAAACTATTCGACTTTCTTCTGCGAAAACTAAATAAAACGTATAGTTAATAAGAGATAGGAATCTAAAGAAATAATAATACCGAATGACAGGCCTACATCGTTTCCTACGATACCGTTAAGAAATATCAATACTAATATTTCAACTGATCCTATAAGATAAATTGTTGAAAGCTGTTACAAATGTTATTTTGTAAATCAATATTATATCACAAAAATCTGCAATCCATCACGTATGAAAACAAGGATAGACTACCAGGAAATCCTGGAGACGATGAATTGATAAAAAGAACAAATACCGAGATCAGTGCCATCGCTAGACGATGGTTACGAGTAAACGCTGGGCCCAGGAGCCCACCACCGTACGTCTCCTCCTCCACCAGGGCGATTCTACCACCACCTCGGCTGGCCCGGAGACGCGGGCCACCTTCCTTGGACGATGCCAACGGGGGAGAGAATACGCGCCTATATAACTACGGCGTTCCGCTGATTGGACGAAGTAACTTACGTTTTCCTGCACTAAGGGAACGAAGAGTACGCAGCCCGAGCCCGACGGGCGGCATTGCGAGGAACATGAGGATTCGCCCGGGATGCGCGGTTAGTTCTTCACATACATTCATTTGGTAACTGCGAATTTTTATGCAATACTGCCGATAATTCGTGTAAATTACGTGCAAGTTCTAAGTGCATAAAAATCCGCAATTTAAATTTCGCGCTATATTCATTTTATTGTGACCGAGTGATGTTTCCATTGATCATTTGCACTCTAAACTCTGTTTAAAGTAGAAATTTAAATATAATTGATGTCAAGTTGCAGTTGATATAAGAGTGCAAGGAATTGATATGTAAATTGCTATTAATTGTTTCGATGTTTTACAGAAAATCGTGGATCGTTATATCATTCTATTAACTTATCTAGCTTCCAGTTATTCTATATTCAGGTATAACGGAAAAGTGAACAGAACCGGAACAGTAAGATCTCCGGCCACTTAGCGTTCGCCGGCGAACGTGTCACTTCGTTATCGATAGGCGACGAGATTCGAAAGTGATGTTCCATAAACGAACTCCCGTTAAAAGTCGTGTTTGGAACGTTGCCATAAAAATTGAGATGCCGGATTTCTCCGTATCTCCTACGAGATTTAAATTCACGCGTACCGTTGATTACAGGCTGCACTAGTGGTGCTACTGCAAGTCGCTTTTGTGGCGAGCAAGGCGCTGGACCAGAGCCAGACACAGCCACTCAAGTCTCAGCAACAAATACCGTAAGTATCCTCGGTTGAGAATACTTATGAAAAAAATTAATTCAAAAACTCTTCGCACTCTGTTTTCAATATCGATTCCTACTAACTCCTCATTTCAATTATTTTTATTATCTCGCTATATGTAAATTAGTATTACTGTAGAAGTTCGAAGGGTTGAGAAGTTGCTTCTAAATCGTCGAATCTCTTACGATTCTTAAAAATTCTTTGAGCAGATATGGCACAGCGGCACAGAAGAGGTGGGGTGGCGATTTGGGAGGCCATGGGGGTGACTTGGGCGCAGGAGGCTACGGCGGCGGCGGTGGCGGTGGTGGCGACTTCAGTGCTCACGGGGCTGATTTAGGTGGTCACGGGGGTGACCTCGGCGGAGGCTTTGGTCACTCTGGCGGAGGTGGAGGCGCGAGTTTCGGACACTCTGGTGGAGGCGGAGGTGGCGATTTTGGACACTCCGGTGGAGGTGGAGGTGGAGATTTCGGACACTCTGGTGGAGGCGGAGGTGGAGATTACGGGCACTCTGGCGGCGGCGACGTAGCAAATTTGGGACACAGTGGAGGAGGAGGCGATATCGGAGGCTACGGTGGTGGCGGTGATCTCGGAGGTGGTTTCGGCCACTCTGGAGGAGGCGCGGGACTCGAGGAACACCACGACGACCATCACGATCATCACGATCACGGGTACTGGAAGAAGAAGTTGATCTGGAAACCCGGATGGAAGAAGATCTGGAAACCGGCTAAGAAACAGATCTGGAAACCAGCGTGGAAGAAAATATGGAAGCCTGTGTGGGTGCCGACGAAGAAGGCTATTTGGAAGGATATTCAGGTTCCCGCTTGGAAGAAAATCTGGAAGCCTGTATGGAAGGAGATCCAGGTCCCGGTTTGGAAAGATATCCAGGTACCGGCATGGAAGAAAATCTGGAAGCCTATATGGAAGCCCATCAAGGTCCCCGCGTGGAAAGAAATTCAGGTACCTGCGTGGAAAAAGATTTGGAAGCCGGTCTGGAAGGAGATTCAGGTCCCAGTGTGGAAAGAGTTCCAGGTACCAGCTTGGAAAAAGATCTGGATCCCGGAGTGGGTGAAGGTCGGCATCCCGGGTGAACACTACCACGGGACCGACCATCACGGCTGGCAGTATACCAGTCACGATCTTTGGAAGAAGAAACTGATCTGGAAACCGTTGTGGAAGAAATATTGGAAACCAGCGAAGAAGCAGATTTGGGTGCCCGACAAGAAGCTGGAGTGGGTCGAAGCCTGGAAACAGATCTGGAAACCAGCTAAAAAACAGATCTGGGTAGACGACAAGAAGCTCGCTTGGAAAGAGGAATGGAAACAAATTTGGAAGCCGTCGAAGAAGCTCATCTGGGTGCCTGACAAGAAGCTAGAGTGGAAGGAAGCTTGGAAGCAAATTTGGAAGACCGACAAGAAACTCGAATGGATCGCTGATAAGAAGCTAGCTTGGAAGGAAGCCTGGAAACAGATCTGGGTTCCAGCTTGGAAAGAGATTTGGGTTCCAGCGTGGAAGAAGATCTGGAAACCGGTGTGGATATCCGAATGGTTCCCCGCAGAGGACCATCATCCTCATCACCACGGATGGGAAGACCGGAAGGACACGCAAGCTCAAGGCTCTCAAGTGGCTCCCAAGGTAGCCAATGAAGGGAAAGAGCAAGGACAGCAACAGATTCAAGTGGATCGAAACAAAGTCAGATGGGACCGATCGTCGGCGGTCGAGGCGTCGACGATCAGCCAGGACCTGGTGCCGCCGCCGAAGAATCAAAGCGGCCCGAACTTGGCCTTCCCCAATCACTGACCGAACTGTTATATGCTCGTAGACCCACAAGAGTATTGTAACATAAGCCGCTGTATATATTATTTTAGTTGTACGTTAAGTTAGATAAGTTTCCTCGAAGGATTAATCGACTGACATGGTCTCTGACTCTGACTATAACGCGTTCTGTCTTTATGTATAATATCCCCTTTTTTATACAATGTTGTTGTTACTCCTTTGTTAACCGATGCCGTTACGAATAAAGTTAATTAATATTTTGTTAAGAATTATATCATTATTCCAACTTCCTCCCGTTAATATTCTCATGCGTTAAAAATCAGCTTGCTCGAGACTTTTGCATGATAGAAGCTTGTTATAATATAAATATTGTACAATGTAATTGTATTATAAATGATTTTGATATAAAACAGAATTAAATATAAAAATTTCAAGGGTGAGATTCTTTCATCCTTCCTCTTCTGGTTAAATTTAAATAATCTAATCTCCTAATCCGCTGATGAACATCAGATTGCTCGATGCTTGGTTCACACCTCGGCATTGGTTTGTTTCGCTTTCGTTCTAAGGCCCACGCTCCTAATGACGCAACGTGAGCACGCGGGTCGATGCGAAACACTGGAGAAAGTTTTAGATTTGTCATGGAGGGAAGTTGTATATGGGAGACCTCGACCGTGGAGAAAGTATCCGTGCACCCGCACACATAAACGTCCAGATACACGATGCCATAAATTAATTCGTGCTCGCGATAGCGACAGAATCGACCACGTCGCGACACGTGTCCTGCTTCACAAAATTCGTACCATAAATCTCAGTAAGCGGCGACGCGTTATCAAAATTGCATGAGATAAATCGATTTCTTACAATAATCCTATTACAATTTTATCATCAGGAAAGAGGTTCTTTTTATAAAAAATTATTTGAATTAAATATTTCGCGTGAAGTGGAAAATTGAAAAGAGGAAATCTACAAAGCTAGAAGTGGTCAAATTTTCTTGGATTAAATGAAAATTACAAGTAATTCTGTCTCCAATGAAAAAATGTAATAAGATAATATTCTTCCAATTATTCTTTGTTATTCTTGCTGATTCGCGTGCTCGGTTGCTCCCATCCCTAGACCAGGTGATGCAGTACTCCCGTCCCGTTATGTACGGGACGGTAAGCCGCGGTTCTCTGTGTGCAACAACGAGAGAAACTTTTGCCTTGATCGAATCGCGGGGTCAGATTTTTCATCACGCTTGCCCGACGACTATGCCAGCCAGCTAGCCTGCAGCAACATAGAAAAAAATCGGTGAAATGTCGTACGCGTATATTTTCTAATCGATCTTCACGGACAAGTCGCCGCGGTTTTCACTTTCCTCTCCCTCTCGCACTCTTTCGTTACGATCGGGCATCTCGTCGAACCTCGTCTAGAACCGTCTTTCAGAGTCTAAAGATCAACAGAGCATACACTCGTTCTTCCTGAACTCGAAATTAAAGTGCAAACACTCCAGTACCAAACGTCGATTAAAACGTGGACAAACATTTAAACGCCGAGGATGGCACCGTTCTGTTTCCTATTTTTAAACGAATATACAATACTTTCCTTATTTTTAAATATAAAAGCGTTTTACGCATTGTAGGAACGACTGGTTCAAGGCTGTTTCATCTAGAAGATTCTTTTCTAGGTTCTATAACGCGAGTCAGTCAAATGGAAATCTCACGAGTTCAACGGCGAGTGATTACACGATAACGACCAATTTTACGACTCACAAAGAATCTCGCACGCTAGGAAACAATGCTCAATTACTAGCTGTAAACTGAAATTGTTGTACGATTATTTTTATGAGAATTTAAGATAAAAATTGCTTCAGATAAAAATTTGTTCGTGCAAAATATATTAAAGAAAAGAATTTGCCACTGCTAATTCATCCTGCGTCTGCAAATACTGCTCACAAAACGTGTATGCATAGATGATCAAGCATACAACGTTCTGTTTGTTTTAAAATACTTGGACGCGTGCCTGAATGTTAATACGTAAACGATTGCATTCGAAAGTAGTAATAAAACCTAAATGATCAAGAGTTGAATTCATCATTGTTAAAAATTCATAGATGTGTAGCAAAAGTTGAAAAAAAATAAAAGGATTTAATTAACGCGAATAAAAGGATCACGTTGACTGTATCGAAAATATCGAAAACTAGTCGATTCGACTTAGATCCAATTATCCTAATTAGCCAGTTCGACCAGGATATAAATCAGCCGGCACTTCGAAAGCGGTGCGACGCCTTCCACTTCCTGATTCCCCAAGAGGTGTAAACAAACAGGTTGGCGGCCCGTTTGACAAAACGGCATATTTCATTGACCTCACCCGAGTTAACAAACCAGTTATTCAATTTCCAATTTACCATAACAAATATATATATATATATATTGTTTTAGCATTTAAAAAGAGATAGAAATAATCGCCAAATGATGAGTGACGAAAAGCTTCTAATTTTACTAACATTCTATAGAAATATTTATAGCAGTATTTTACATTTCTCCATAGTTTTATTATCGTACGTATTATATTTCAAGAAAATTTTCATGCCATGTACTGTCATAAGTTTTCTAAACGGGAACCATGAAAAGAACGATGGACAAAGAGATATTTTTGTCAAAGGCCATGGGTGTCAGCCCGATAATATCAGGGGGTGCCACCAGAATCGTTTTTTGTACATACGTATCCTCGATATAATAAGAAAAGAGGAATGGAAGAGTCAGTACATTCCAAGATGTTCTACACGCTGATCTTGTTTCTCTTCATCCTCTTCTGTATCTTCTGCGTCTACGATTCTATCAAACCTCGGAATTTCCCACCCGGTTGGTGATCAGTGATTAACTAATCAATACTTATCGAGACATAGACAACTATTAAATCTCTCCATAAAAGTAAAAATTGTCTCTGAGATCTATTAAACGTTGTAATTAATTTATTTCTCAAGGACCAAAATGGATACCACTGCTTGGTTGCTTCCTAACGTTTCGACGATTAAAACTGAAACACAAATACGTGTATCTGGCGTTTCAACAGTTGTCCGTGATCTACGGCCCGATTCTGGGCCTGAAATTGGGGAATCAGAAAGTCGTTGTGATTTCGACGCACGATCTGGTGAAGAAAGTTCTTCTGCAGGAAGAGTTCAACGGCAGACCGGACGGATTTTTCTTCAGGGTTCGCTCGTTTGGAAAAAAAAAGGGTACCAATCTTTTTTACAATACATGATTGGACACTTATACTTTCTTTTATCCGTAATCTGCTATAGACATTCTCTTAATCGTAGGAATTCTATTCAACGATGGCCAGGCATGGTCGGCGTGTCGTCGTTTCACCATGCGACATTTGAAATCCTTCGGACTGGGTCAGTCGAACATGGAAAAGCATTTGATCGTCGAGGCTGAATGCCTGGTAAATTACCTCCGTCGCGCCAGTGACAAGGGACCAGTGTCCATGCACATGGCCTTCGACGTTGCAGTTTTAAATTCCCTTTGGTGCATGTTCGCTGGCCATAGGTTTGACTACGAGAATAAGAAGCTGTTGGAAGTACTTGAAACGGTTCACGATGTTTTTAGGTAAATTATCGAAAAACATGTGCACTTCTAATCAAGCTCTTCATCTTCGAACAATCACTTCCACTTTCTGTAGATTAATGGATACAATGGGCGGTGTTGTTTCGCAAATGCCGTTCCTACGGTTTGTAATACCAGAGATGTCCGGTTACAACGAGTTAATGAGGATCCTTAACAAGCTTTGGAACTTCTTGAACGAAGAGATCAACACTCATGAGAAACAAATGACGGGGGGTCAACCGCAGAACTTGATCGAAGCGTTTTTATTAGAAATATCGAAAAATAATGACGATAATTCCATATTCGATCGTGAGTGATACAATTCTTCACTGCAAATAGATATATAATAATATTCTTCAATTTTATACAATTCGTTGCAAATAATTGTTCAGGGGAGAATTTATTGGTGCTATGTTTGGATCTTTTTTTGGCCGGTTCGAAGACGACGACGGATACTCTAGAAACGACTTTTCTATTTTTATCTTCACACTCTGAATGGATTAAGATTCTCCAGATGGAACTGGATAACGTGGTCGGCAGATCGAGATCACCTACTTTGGAGGATTACGACTCTTTACCTATGATGAAATCGTTTCTCGCAGAGGTGGATTATCATTACTCATAATTCCGTTAATCGTAGTATTAATAATAAATTACTATTATCAGGCGCAGAGATTCTTAGTTCTGGCACCATTTGGACTGCCTCACAAAACTATGAAAGATGTAACATTGAACGGATACAGCATACCCAAGGTAAACATTTCAAAATAATTTCGTTTTAATATTTTGTCAATGCAATAACTTGGAAAACTAAAATCATTATTTCCTTCATCTCTAGAATACAATCATCCTCCTGGATTTCCACAGCGTGAACAACGATAAGACATATTGGGAACATCCAGAAGAATTTCGTCCTCAACGATTTCTCGACGCGAACGGCAAATTCCAACAGAATAACACGAGCATACCGTTCAGTTTAGGTAACGCTCTTTAAATTATTCTAGTAACAAATTTCGAGAAGGTAGAAAAGCCATTCATCGAGATAAGAATCGACTTCGCCAATAATGCGAATACGATTTGAATAGACACGAATTGTTTAAAATTCTTCACGTATCCTGAGTCAAGTTATATTTCGAAGTACGTTCGTTTTAGGTAAGAGACGCTGTCCTGGTGAAACGCTGGCCCGCGTATCCTTATTCTTATTCCTCGCCCACGTTATCCATTACTTCGACATCGAGATTTCACCGGAACACGGCGAGCCGGACCCGGATGGGTACGATGGTTTCACAATATCACCGAAGCCTTATTACTTAAAGCTCACCACGAGGATCACAAATTCCACATCTGATTAATCGAACCAGAGGCACCTTCAATTTTCATGCACAGGCATCGATAATAGCAAGTGTGATACCGTAGGAAAGTGTCAGCTTAATAATAATTTGATAGTTCGAACTGTTAGAGCTCATTGTGAGGATTGTCAAATTAAGTATTTAACAATCGAACTAAAATCGTAAATCCTGTAACTAAGTATAAGCATCTAATAGTAACAAATATCAAAGTTTCATCTAATTTTCGAAAAATGCTTGAAATAAAAGTTGTTCTCCTTCTAATTTCGATATTTAACGAGTTACGTATGATTATTAGACATTTTATTGATGTTGACAAAATCCGACCATCCCACCGTCGAAACGGCGAACTTTTGGAAAAAAATTTCATTTTTCCTCAATAACTCCTAAACCGTTGAATCTACGGGAAAATTGTATAGAACCTTTCTTATAGAGGACGACGAGATCAACAATTTCCATATAAAAGTTTTTCGCTAGCATTAATATTTAACGAGTTATTGACGAAAAACGAAAGAACAATTTTTTGCAAATTACTCGTTAACTATTGATGCTAGCGAAACATTTTTACATGGAAATTATAGATCTCGTCGTCCTCTACAAGAAAGGTCTTATGCAATTTTTCCATATGTCCAACGGTTTAGGAGTTATTGGCCAAAAACGAAAATTTGGAAGAAATTGAAGGGGTACCC